GAGCCCGGGTGTCTCCCGATGGGCCGTGGGGCTCAGAGCTGGGGGGCTCCGAGTTGTTCTCTGGACTTTGTCAATGAAAATTCAAGGAATTATCAAGTTAAGAAGAAAAAAGGGAACTTCATTCAAGCCAACTGAGGATTCTCACTGGGGAAGCAGATCCTCAGACGCTCTGAGGACGGCCCTGCTCGCTCGGAGTGGAAGGCACAGTCACGCACATGTTCGAGACAAAGGATCGTACGTCAGAATGACATGCGGCATTTTACATAAAGGTCACCAAGGAGGCACAGCCCAGGGAAGCACGTACAAAGTGGGCAGCGGGTCACCGTGACCCCTACAGAGCTGGGAAGGAACGCTATTCTTTACGAAGTTGCACTGCCAGCGTCAGAAGAAAGGAAAAATCAATCTCTACAGGGGGGCAGGCAGGCCCACCTTTGAGGACCTCTGGCTACGGTGTGACGCAGATGCACACATTCGTGGAGGGCCTAGTACGGGTTGGGAACACACCATGCTTAAGTTTTCCTGCCCTGTCTAAAATACAAAATTTATCTCACCAACTTTTCAGGGTCACCTCAAGTGTGGAGAGGAGAGGGGCGACCCCCATGGCGTCCACGTGGGCCCGCAGGGCTTCTGTCTGATGGGGACTTTCCGTTGGGAAGATTGCAGGCCATCATTTGCCTGAGTGCTGGGATGAGCTAGACGTGGTTCCTAACGTCTGGTCTGAGTCTGTTCAATGAACCGGACAGAATTCAGCTTCCTAGAATTGCGTTTATGACCTCTGGCTATTGGCCGGTCTGTAAACCAGCCCGTGTTCCTCCTTTTGGGGGCGTTGGAGCAGGGTTCATACACGTGGCTGAGGCCAGTTTTGTGAAAGTCTGAAAGCTCACCCCAAAGCCACCTGGGCCTGGAGTGGCCTGTGCAGGTAGTCACACACCCGATAATCTGAATGCTTTCCTGAGGGTTAGCGCTCTAATTACGATTTCCACTTCTTCCTGAGTCGCTTTTGTTAAGTTTTATTGCTAGAAAAGGAACGCTCCGGGAGACGTCATTGACGCTGTCAGTGTGCTGTGCTGGCAACTGTGCTCTGTGCCTGCTTGGTCCTCCCAGCACGCACTGTGTCCAGGGCACCAGGAGCAGAGCCTGCTGGGTGGGAGTGGGCGCGGGGGCTGGGTGGGGGTGGGTGGGGGAGGGGCGGGAGAGCCCAGGAGCGGGGGCGGAGTCTCAGGGACAGCACTGTAGACACAGGTGGATGGACAGGCTGCTGGCTGCTGGCTGCCTGGTGAAGCACCGCCTTGTGGACCGCAGTGAAGCAAGACCAGAGGAGCAGGTCGACCCCAGCTTGAAGATGTGTGCTGTGTCCTCCTGTGTCCTGCTAGAGGGGCGCGACTGCTGGGGTGAATCCCAAGGCTGGGCTTTGGCTCCACAGGCATGGACCCTCTTGGGGGTGGGTGCACAGCTTCCGAAGCTTTGGGTTATGTCAGGTGCAACAGACGAAGGATGCTCAGGGTGGAGGAATGTGGTGGCAGTAATTTAAAAAGAACGGCTTGCGTGGCTGAGTGCTCGGTGCAGGCTGGACACCACGCCCAGTGCCTGTGGGTCACTTTGTTGGGTCCTCATCATGAATCCCCATGGAGCCGTGATTGCTATGGTGATTAATTATTCCACAGGTTGGGCACAGGCAGCGAAGGACCCAGCACAAGGTCGCCCACCAGCTGCCCACCGAGCCAGGTCTCCATGGAAGAATGGAGGCTGTGATGTGAAGATGGTAGTGCGGGCAGATGGTTAGAGCTGGCTCTGGCCAGGGATGGAGCAGGACAGTGGGCAGAGGTGTCTGGAGTCCAGGGCAGGGTTCACGGTGTGTTCAGGCTCGGAGTGTGGATGACAGAGCCTCCGCTGGGTCTGGATGGACGACTCTCCAGGTCCTGCGGTCTGTGGCCAACAGTGTCCAAAAAACCTACACCAAGATAACCAGGAACTTTCCTCCTGTGTGTTTCTAGGAGAGTGTTTCCAGTCTATGCCTAAGTCCTTAATTAACTGTCGTGAATGGAGTAAGAGAGGGGTTTAATTTAATTTAATTTCATTCTCTGAGAAGTGGATATCAGTTTTCCCAACACCATTCGTTCAAGGGAATATTCTTTTCACACTGAGTATTCTTGACGTTCTTGTCCAGTATTCACTGACCATATATATGTGGGTGTATTTCTGAGCTCTCCATTCTGTTCCATTGGTCTGTGTCTGTTTTTATAGCAGTACCATACTGTTCTGATTAGTTGAGCTTTGTAGTAAGTTTGAAATTGAGAACTGTGATGCCTCGCATTTTGTTCCTTCTCAAGATTGTTTTGGCTATTTGGGGGGCGTTGTGGTCTGTACAAATGCTAGGAATTTTTTGGACATTGTTGAAAATCCCACTGGAATTTGGACAGGGATGACGTTGAATCCATAGATGGCTTTATGTAGTAAGGATGTTACAAGAGTACCGACTCTTCACACTTATGAATGTGGGGTGTCTCTCCACTTTTTTGCGTCTTCTTCAGGTTCTCTCCTCAATGTTTTATAGTTTTCAGCATCTAGATGTTTTACTTCTTGATTAAGCTTATTCCTAAGGGTTTTATTGTTTTTGATATTACTGTAAAAGTAATGATTTTCTTTCATTCTTTCTTAGGAAGTTCATTGTGAGTGTACAGAAACGCAACCAATTTTTGTATGTAGATTATTTTTTTGCCCCGAAGCTTTAATTATGTCGTTTATTCATTCCAGTATTTCTTTGCTGGAGTCTTTAGGACTTTCTACATGCAAGCTCGTGCCGTCAGCAAACAGAAACAGCTTCACTTCTTCCTTTCCAATCTGGATGCCTTTTATTTCTTTTTCTTGTCTGGTTGCCTGATTGTGGGATACTGAATCCCAATACTCTGTTGAATAGGGGTGGTGAGAGTGGGTACCCCTGTCTTGAAGCTGATCTTAGAGGAAAAGCTTTCAACCCTTCAGTATTGAGTATGATCTTAGCTGTGGTTGTGTCTTGTATGCCCCTTACTTTGTTGAGGTATTTTCCTTCTCTACCCAATTTGGTGAGTGTTCTTATAGTGAAGGAATGTTAACTTTTGTCAAACATTTTCTCTGCATCTATTGAAACGGTCATGTGATTTTCGACTTTAGTTTTATTCATGTGGTGTATTACATTCGTTGATTTCCACACGCTGAACTATCTCTTCATCTCAGGAATCAATCCCATTTGGTCACGGTGTATAATAGGTGTATAATATCTTTAACGTACTGTGGAATTCAGTTTGCTGGTGTTTTGTTAATTGTTGCATCTGTGTTCATCGGGGCTACTGATCAGCAGTTTCCTTGGAGTACCCTCAGCTTATAAAATGAGTTTGGGACTGTTCTCTCCTTTCCAATTTTTTGGAAGAGTCTGAGGAGGTTTGGCGTTCATTCTCTTCAAATGTTGCTGGAATTCACCAGTGAAGCCATCGGACATGACACCAAAAGCGTAAGCCACAAAAGCAAATACCAACAAGTGGGACTACCTCAAAATAGAAAGCTTCTGCACAGTCAAAGGAAGAATCAACAAAACAAAAAGGCAACCTACAGAATGGGGAAAAGTATTTGCAAAAAATATGTCTGACAAGAGGTTACTATGCAAAATATAATAGAGAAGACATACTCCTCAAAAGCAAAACAAGCAAACAAGGGATGCTATTCCAAAAGAGGCAGGCAGAGGACTCGAATAGACACCTTTCCAAAGAAGACATGCAGTTGGCCAACAGCACATGAATAAGTGCTCAACATCAGTCAGCACCAGGGGAACCTCACGCCTGTTAGCACGGCTGTCAGCAGAATGAGGAGAGATGGCCGGTGCTAGTGGGCTGCAAGCAATAGGGCGACTCCTCCCAAAAGTAAACTTAAAAGCCTCTCAGTATCTAGCAAGCCCGCTCCTGGGTATATGTGTGAAGATGATGAAGCCAGCATCTACAAGAGGTGTCAGCAGCCCACAGTCATCGCAACAGTGCTCTCAATAGCCAAGGCACCGAAACAATTTGTCTCTGTCGATGAGTGAATAAAGATGAATGAAAATACGTCGACACACACAATGGAAGCTTCTCCATCGGTGAAAAGGAAGTATTACCGTTTGCGACAGCATGGATGGACCCCGAGGGCATTATACTTTGTGAAATAGGTCAGACAGAGAAGGACATATCCTGCAGACCTCGCTCGTACCTGGGATCAGAAAACATCCAACCTGCAGAAGCAGAGAGTAGCGTGCTGGTTACCAGGGCTGAGGGGTGAGCCCGTTTACTACCGGCCTCCTGACTTCCTTTCCCCTCCACGAAAGAGTTCGCCCTTCCTTGCCGCCTGCGGACTTGAACCTGTCTCCCTGGGGTTGCAGACCCCAAACTGCAATTGTCTGCTGATCCCGAAGAAATCCATCTTTGATGGAGAAATGCCTGGCAGAGTATTTGCTTCAGGACAACACGAGTTAGTCGTTGTATGTGGCTACTCACAGCATCAGCTTGTTCACCTAAGTCCCCATAAAGTTCACTGAACCCAGGAGTGAAGGTTTAGAGAATCCTTTGGAAAAACGATGTCAAAGGGGGTTAATCCATGTTTCGTCTTTGGAGCCTTACTTTTTTAAGGGCCAAGGGCAGTGATTCTGGCCATGTAAGTCCACTTTCTTGTTTATATTTATTTATTTATTTTTTTGCAGTACGCAGGCCTCTCACTGCCGTGGCCTCTCCCGTTGCGGAGCACGGGCTCCGGACGCGCAGGCTCAGCGGCCATGGCTCACGGGCCCAGCCAGTCCATGGCACGTGGGATCTTCCCGGACCAGGGCACGAACCCGTGTCCCCTGCATCGGCAGGTGGACTCTCAACCACTGCGCCACCAGGGAAGACCCAAGTCCACTTTCTTGACAGATGTTTCCTTGAGTCCCTTTTAGGTCTAGATGGCAATGCTGCAGTCACCCTGATGATGGAGGGTGGTAGCGTAG